ATAAGCCCATATAATGTTTAATCACAAAATCTAAAAATAACTAAAGCATGCTGATTGTTGCTGGTGCTGCCATTGGGTCACACATTAAATCAAGGTACCGTCTACATGTTCAAGCGGACAGTAAAGATTCTATGGCACTTTTCGAAAAGAGAATGGAGTTTCTCCTGGTGGCCTGGCAAACAATCCTCCAGATAAAATTGGTTATTAAATTCATGGCTCTTTGTTGGTTATTACTATGTGCAAATTGGCTGCCGTGTTTGAGTACTAAATACACAGTCAGTACACTTTACAGAAAATCATATGAAGCGCTTTGAGATGTCTGCTGACGTAAAAGGTGCTATATCAAATGCAAGAATATCATTAATAATAAGTTATTAATTATTAATAACTTATTATTAATAATAAGTCGTAGCTCTGACTGATTTTCCTAAGTCAGTGTATGTAGATAATCCAGATACGCCACAATTAGGGCTTTGTTTTGTACAATACTGGATACAACTAGGATTAAATAATCAGACATCTCAAGTATTATTCATTACAGGGCAGGGGACATGAATCAGGCTCACTGGGCAAAGGGTGTAGCTGTGTCAGTAGGGTTGAGGAGATCGCAGAGTTAGGGTGGGCCAGACTGTGGAAGGACTATTCCCTGTCCCTGTGTATCAGTTTCAACATCCTGGTTTTGAACTCCACTTTGTTGCCCACTTAATCTCTGCAAAATACTCGGCACACTCTCTTCTATTCCCTATTTCCTTTTGAGCTCAGATTTCAACTCCAAATCTGTGCTTTCCTATGTTGAAGGTAATATATTAACAACAACAAGATTACATTTGGAAAGCGCCTTTCATGTAGAGAGGGCGTCCTAAGGCGCTGGACAGTGTACAGCATTTCAGACCCGAGCTGAGATCAGTGTGGGAGAAAGGAGGGGAGGGGAAGGGGGGTGGCCGATGGCATGGTCGAAGAGGAGGGTCTTGAGGCGGAACTTGAAGGAGGCTAAGGAGGGGGCGAGGCGGAGTGATTGGGGGATGGAATTCCAGAGATTGGGGGCAGAGTGGCTAAATGGTGGAGCGGGTGGGTCGGGGGATGTGGAGCAGCCGGAACCGGCTGAGCGGAGGGAGCGGGCGGGTTGGTAGGGTTTAGGAGGTCACAGAGGTAGGGTGGGGCGAGGCCATGGAGGGCTTTGTAGGTGAGGACCAGGATCTTGAACTGGATCCTCTGAAGGATAGGGAGCCAATGGAGTCGGGCGAGAATGGGGGAGATGGGGGTCACGGAGTTTGGTGCGGGAGAGGACACGGGCTGCAGAGTTCTGGATTATCTGCAGCCTGTGGAGGGAGGAGTTGGGAAAGCATTTGCATAGTCGAGGCTGGAGGTGATGAAGGCATGAACAAGAGTTTCAGCGGCCTGAGCGGTGAGGTAGTGGCAGAGTCGGCGATGTTATGAAGGTGAGGGAAGGCAGAGTGGGTCATGGCTTTGATATGGGGGAGAAAAGACAGTTGAGGGTCGAACAAGACACCACCTAGGTTCCTGACTGGTTTGGTGAGTTGAAGTGTGCAACCATGGAGGTTGATGCTGCCAGAGCCTGAGGTGCTGGCGTGAGCCAACCAGGAGGGCCTCAGTCTTGTTCACATTCAACCTCTAGGAAATTTGCCCTCATCCAGGACATGATGTCCGACAGGCAGTCTGTCAGGACAGCAGTTGTCCTGGAGTTGAGGGTGGAGGCAGAAAGATAGAGTTGGGTGTCATCCGCATACATTAATCTATTATTATAAGGTGTTGAAGGTGTTACATAAGCTATTATTGTTAACCATTAATTCTACAAATGCTGGCTCCTCATAAGACACTATCTTCTACATAATATTCATAATAACTTACTGCAATAAAAGCTGACTGTTTATTATGTTACAGAATGGCTCCATGAAACTTTTCCTAATCCCACTGCTTTTTAGTCATGTCATCAAAGAGAATGAAGTAATGATCTGCCATCTAGTGGCCATGTAGATGTAGACAAATGCAGCTGACGCATATCTTGTGACATAAATTTGATTCGGAAATTACAATTTTGTTGATGTTCAGATGCAATTCAACAAGGAAAAAATCCTGCGTGCCTAGTCTGCATGGATATGCTTTGTTTTAAGACACCAATCCCTCTATTCATTTCTTCTTGTATAAACTGAACAATGAACAATGATTAGACAAGCTAGAGGTCTTCAGTCTTGTGAGAAGATATCTCATACAGTCGTACAAAATTTAAAATGGGATTGAAAAATTAAACCCAGATCAGTATTTTAGGATTCACAAAGACTGTAGAACAAAGTGACATAGATTGAGAGTAAAGGGTGATTCCAGGACATATAGTAAAACGTTTTCCCTTCGCAGGTGGTGATTAATGACTGGTTGCAAGGAAGATTGAGGTCAGGACACTAAACTCATTTAAAAAGCAGCTTAATGCTGTGATGGGAAGACAGTAGAATGAGTGTTTTGGAAGGATGAGATCACGTAGGCTGAAGGGCCTTCTTTATCAGAACCAATCTTGCAAATTCTTTCACAAGAAGAATATGAATAACATCCAAATCTACTTTTCTACTTCCGGATAAAACAGATGTCATCCTCCTTGGCTTTGACCAATGTCACTTTTAGTCTTGACCTCCTTAACCTCCTGACATCTCTCTCAAACTCACCAAACCAGTGAGCAACCTTATTGCCTGTTTCAATAATCAACTCTCCTTTCTGCTGCTGGAGATGTCCTTGCTGGTCCCATCTCCAGCACCAACAAAATCCAATTGATCCAAAACTCTACTTCCATAATCTCACACTTACCAGGCTCTGCTACACCACTGAATGTATGATTGTAGTTCTGAGAGGCAGAGGCATAAATATACAATATAATTTACATTTACAACAACAACTTGCATTTATATAGTGCCCTTCATATCAAACAGCATCTCGGAGAGCTTAATCCTTTATATAGTGCCTGACATGAAAAGTGTCTGTTTATATAGTGCTGTTCATGTCGGGAGGACATTTCAAAGAGTTTTACAAGACTGGCTAGGCACATGAGGGGGAAGGAATTTGGAGAGTATCAGGGTGGGGGGGCAGGTGAGGGGCGGGTGGCAGAGGAAGTTGAACATAGCGCGGTCAAACAGGTAAGTCTTCAAGTGGGCTTTAAAAGTATGGAGTGAGCGAGATGGAATTACAGGAGCAGAATGGCTGAAAGCTCAGCAAGGTTACAGGCGGTCATAGTGATATGGTGGAGCAAGGCCATGGAGGGATTTGAGGATGAGGACAAGAATCTTGAATTTGATCCACTGAGGGATGGGAATGGAGAGGCAGTGGGGTTGAGCAAGTTTCTTGGAAAGAAGAATGGATGTATGAAAGCTTATTTGGTTGAGTAATAAGACATATAAGTAGTAAAATTCAGGAAATTCTACCCTCGTGCTACCACTACACTAGTGCTGGTAACAAATTAACTTTCCTAAAATGCAAATGTATAGTAATTCTAATAAAAGAAAGATTACAAGCAAAATAGCCATTTCAGATTTAGCTTTAATCAGTCATTAAAAGTTTTAGTAGATAAGATATGACGTACTTACAATCATATGTAAGCAACTGACAAACAGGACAACATTTCATTAAATCCTAAATACAGAAATGTTTACTCGTGTTAACAAGTGGGGTATGCTGGACCCCAATCACTCTCTTTACTTATGGGGGAAGAGAAAAACTGTCAAATCCCCTGAAAGAGATCCTGTCTGCCTGTTCAGGTAAACATTGAAGATCCTATGGCACTATTTTGAAAATCAAAGGGGGTTTCTCCCAATTTCCTGACCGGCAATTCCCCAGAGAAAAAAAATGATCAATTGGTCATGGCTGTGGGACATTGCTACATGTAAATTGGCTGTTGTATTTACCTACAAAATATATTCACTGCAGGAAATCCTCTGAAGTTCTTTGAGAAGTTGTGGTGACATGATATGGAGCTATATCAAATGCGGGTATTATTTATTATAATCTTTTTCTGAGTTTTTGCCACTTATAGTGGTAAAGCATGATTGGAATTTCTTGTGGTCAGATCAAACTCCTGACCTTCCTCTTAGATTAATCAGGAATTCTTGAGACTGATCAACCAGGCGATTTGTTAATCTATTTGTTAATCTTTTACCTGTAATACCTGAGTAATCTCACAACTACAGATGTAAAAACAATTTTCAGAAACCAAGACGTATATTTAACAACACTGGCACACATTAAGGGATCACAGGGATTCTTTGAATGGAAATAGAAAAACGTTAACTGGTGTAGTAGAGCTCTAACCACTAAGCTATATGATTCCGTATGATATGACTTGTGTGAGGTTTACTGTGTTACAAAAAGAAGCAAACATTCAAATCCTAAATTCACTCTTCACTCAAAGGGTGGTGAATGTGTGGAACTCACTACCCCAAAGGGCTGTTGACGCTCAGTCCTTGAACATATTCAAGACTGAGATAGATAGATTTCTTATTGCAAAAGGGATTAAGGGATATGGGGATAAGGCAGGGTCAGGTTATTAGCTGGAGTTAGATTAGAAGATCAGCCATGATTGAATGGCGGGGCAGGCTCGAAGGGCCGAATGGCCTAAACCTGCTCCTACATGTTATGTTATGTCATGTTATTCAGGATTTATTCTGTCACTCTTCTCTGAAATAGTCCTCTCCAATACATTGTTGTCCCATTGAAATTATCCAGCACTGCATAAAATATTCTAAACATGTCCTCACCACAGAGTTTGAATAACTTTCAATAACTTGTTTTGACTTACAGTGAATCCTTGACATATACTAGTCATATACTAGAATCCTTGACATGGATTCTAGTATATGATTAGTTAAGTTGAGAACAACTTCTAATTTTAGTCAATGATCAGCACATTCATTGCTCCACATACTAATGAATCGGAAATGTTGTAATTGTTTCACTCCATTCCAATGAACCATGACAACTCATGGCAATGAATGTGAGCTTGGAGAGTTGAAGAACATTGCATTTTGATTATTTCTCACTAAACACTGGTTCTCTTAGACAACCAGCAAAAATGCTAACATTTGATGATGTTTTGAAGGAGGTCGGAGAGTTTGGAAAATATCAGAAATGGATTACCCTGATTTTGTCTATCAGTGGAGTGACATTCTCATTTCTGATCGTTGTAGTTATTTTCCTGGGAACTCCTCCGAAGCACAGATGCAAAACCCCAGGATCGGCTGAACTAAGAGAAAGGTGTGGGTGGTCTCTGGAAGAGGAAATGAATTACACTCTACCTCTGGACAGCTCAAGCAGCACCTCATACAGCCAGTGTGAGAAATACAATATAGACTGGAATACTACTTTTGTTAGTTGTGAAAATCCACTGCTGTCAATCCAGAATGGTACCTCTGATATGCCTCGTACAGGTTGTAATGATGGCTGGGTTTTCGAAAGCTCACGTTCAAGTATTGTAATCGAGGTAAATAACTCTACTTTTATTATACTAATGCCTTTAATGATATCTGCATATTATAATGGATTAAAAGTTTGCATGAAATAAGGGCTGTTATAGCAGGTAGCTTGGTTCAATCAGTGGCATGCTTGCCTCTGGTGCAGAAGGTTGTGGGTTTAAGTCTTATGTTAGACCTTGAGCTCCCATCCCAGCAATGACACAGCAGTGGCAGAGCTGTATTGCTGCATTAAGGGGGTATGCAGTCTGCGTTTTCTTTAGATGGATCCCATGACACTATTCAAGAAAGGTGTTACTGTTCATGGAAGGGTCAGCCTGGCTCTGTTGGCGGCAATCTTGCCTCTGAGTCCAGTCTTAATTTTAAAGCCAGTTATCCACAGGTCTTTTTAAGCATCCTTCCAGCACCTTGAGACATCCTTCCATCGCGAAAGGCACTCTACAGATGGTCTTTGTTCTTTTTAAAAATTGCAGAAAACCAGCTTCCAAATTAAGACTCGATTTAAGAATTTTCTATGGTTCTGAACAATCATAAAGCTAAAACCATGAGAAATTTGGGGCCTCAAACCTAATTCATAAAAGGAATGTTGCACAGATTGCAGTTTTTTTTGTGGGGGTGTGGTGGGGGGTGGTTAGGGAGGTATCAGACACATGCGGAAACCCATCACCATGCTTAAGATTATCCAGACCAGACTGAAAGTTCTGAAAGTATGGTATCTACACATGGAAAGTCTTGTATCTGAAATAGAATGTGCACTCTCTTACAGAGGGACGCACCCTGCTTACCTAATTCCCAAAGAGTATTAGATACAGGTTGGCAAGAGCCAAGACTTGGGGACTCCAGAGTGTGCTTTGGAATAAAATGGGAGTTTAACTTGCTATAATCACTCAGCATGTCATTGAAACGCTGCCTGACATGCTTCTTACTACTTGTCCAGCTTGGACCACCTTACGCATTAAGAGTTTGGTTTGTAAGATTAACAGGAGCTGAGTGGGAGAATTCCCTGCCCCAATGACTGTTCTGCCTTTCCACGTTTCCTAGTCTGTCAGCAGTAGTGCCCTGAGTTACTGCAAACTCGCTTGACTCAGGAACTGGATTATCAAGATTACCTCCACAGAACGTTGACTCGATTCCAACATTCTGTGGCCAATCATGTCACCTTGCCAGTTCAATAACAAGGAGACCCTGCTCCTTCCCCCAAGGAGAATGGTCCTAATGATGCAATTGATGGATTGATGGAATGTTCCCATAATATTTGCTGTCTCTTTTTTCCTCTCTATACAAAAAGTATGAGCTTGTGTGTAAAGATGCTTGGATGTTGGATATGTCTCAAGCTTCCATTGAAACAGGATTCCTAGTTGGAGCGATAATCACAGGCTACATTGCAGACAGGTATGTTTAACTCCAACCTAGTTTGGTCAATAAATTTTGTTCTTGAACTTAGATCCTATTTTCTATTTTTGTCTAAATGAGAATAATCTCTTCCCTTGCAGATTTGGTCGAAAAGTGTGTTTGTTGATCTCACTGTTTGGAGTCGCACTCACTGGTATCATTGTATCATTTGCACCAAACTACCCATTGTTTCTGATTTTTCGTATTCTTCAAGGCATATTTGGAAGAGGAATATGTATAACAAATGCTGTCATTGGTAAGTCTTGAAGTTGATTCTGTTGCGAGGATATTAAAGGATTATTGGTGCTCATTGGTGAATCTATAACAAGTGGCAGAAGCTCAGAAATGCCACTTGAAGGGTGAAGCAAGAGGTTAGAAGACACATTTTCATACAGCAGGTTATTAGACGATCTGGAGGATTTTTAACTAGACTGTGGAGAGTGAAGATTTTGTCCTGCTTTGAATGATATATCCTTTCAGAATGCCCACCCTACCATCTTTCCATCACAAACTGTTTCTTAAACATCTTAGCCTCAGCCGTCCTTCCTGCAACTGTGTCAGCCTGGCTCAGTGTTAGTGCTCTTGCTTGTGAGTCAGAAGGTTGTGGGTTTAAGACGATGTCAGGAATTGAACTAACATCATCTAAACTGACAATCTAATGCAGTGCTGGGGGAATGTTGCATTGTCGGGGTTGCTGTCCTTCGGATGAAACGTTAAACCGACGTCCCATCTGCCTGTTCAGGTAGACAATAAAGATCCCAAGGCACTATTGAAAAAGAGAAGGGAGTTTCTCCCAGTGTCCTGGCCAACAATCCCTGAAATAAAATGGGTTATTTATTTCATCACCGTTTGTGAGACATTATTGTGCTTTAATTGGCTACCCACAATGACATGGTCACTCCACTCACAGTAAATCCTGTAAAGCACTTTGGAATATCTTCCCAACATGAAATGAAACTACAAAATGCAAGGATTATTATTATTATCATCATCATCATCATTATTATAACCTTTTGCAATTGTTATTTACCCTCTAGGTAGAGAAATACTTGTCTACCTGGAGAGATATCGGTCCTGAAATTGCCTTTCATAACTCTGAACCTGTTCTGCTTCTTGGTGTATCTGAAAGTATTGCTTTTGGTTCACTTACTCCCATTTAAAATCTATCCTTGGGGTAGATTTTGACTGAAAGAGTGGAGGAAACAGACTTAATTCGGTCAGTTTCCCATTCAATGGCTTGGAATGACAGTATTCGGCATCATAACAGTGTTACAGCAGCTTGGGATGTCCTCCTAACATAAAAGGTGCTATAAAAATCCAATATGTTATTGTTCTTTGCTGTTAAAATTGGGGATTCACTCAGACTTTACCCTTATGTCGAGGTTGAGGGAAGAGAAGAGTTAGGTGTCCCAGCCCACAGCCTCAGCCTAGGAAAAAAATTATGTTTCACCATTTCTGTTATATTGTTTTCTCATTCCAGCTACAGAAATTGTTGGAGCAAAATACAGAAAGGTTGTTGCAATCATAACGCAGTCAGCCTTTGGGGTGGGGATAATGTTACTTCCCGGCATTGCCTATTGGATCAGGTCTTGGAAAGGACTTCAAATTGCTGCTTCTGTACCAAACTTTATTTTGCTGCTTTACTGCTGGTAATGTAATTTTGCATGTATTTTAGCATTGAGTAAAATTTTTTAACTTTCTCGTTCCATAAAACAGATTCTGAGAACTGTTGAACCTTTTCACTTCCAGTTTAATTCCCGAATCTCCTCGGTGGCTTTTATCTCGCAAGAGAAATAGAGAAGCATTTAAAATTACTCAGCATATGGCAGAACAAAATGGAAAGTGTCTCCCCGCAAACTACAATGAGGTACAGTGATGGTTTGTGTTTCCTATTGGCTTCTGATCTGCACCGGCAATGTCCTACAAACAAGCATGAAATGTGTACGACTTTCATTAACATAGCGCCCTTCACACAGGATAGTGTCTTGGAGCGCTCCGTAGTGTCGCCAAGCGACAAAGCAGGAGCGAAGGGCGAATTCATTTTAAATTGGGGATGAATTTATTATAATAATAATTCTTGTATTTGATATAGCAGCTTTTCACATCAAGACCTGACACAGCACTTCACAGGATTTTACTGTGAAATGTACAGACTGTGCATTTGCAGGCAAACATGGCTGCCAATTTGCAGACAGCAATTTTCCACAAACACCCATGGAGTGGGCACATCAACATTCAGATCCTATCAGCGAACTCATAAAATGCAGCTTCCCAAACAAAGATAGCGGCCAAAAATGTTTCAAAGGCTCTCACTTGTCTTGTTTGAACCCTCAACTATCCTTTCTCCCCCATATCCTGACCATGACCCGCTCTGCCTTCCCCCACCTCCGCAACACTGCCCGACTCCGCCATTGCCTCACCCCTCAGGCCGCCAAAACCCTCATACACGCATTTGTCACCTCAAGGCTCAACTACGGAAACTCACTCCTTGTCAGCCTCCCCAACTCATCCCTTCACAAAGCTGCAGACCACCCAAAACTTTGCAGCTCGTGTCCTCTCCCACACTGGGATTCCGTGACCTCATCAACCCCACCCTCGCCCAACTCCACTGGCTCCCCATCCCTCAGAGGATAGAATTCAAAATCCTTGTCCTCACTTTCAATGCCCTCCACGGCCTTGTCCCCTCCTACCTCTCTGACCTGCTGACCCCCTATCAACCTGTCCGCTCCCTCCATTTAGGAGGCTCCAGATGTCCCCATGTCTCCTGCCTGACCTGCCCTACCATCTCTGGCCGGGCTTTCAGTCTCCCCGCCTCCACCCTCTGGAAATCCATCCCACAATCCCTTCGCCTTGCTCCCTCCCTTACCTCCTTCAAGGCACAACTCAACACCCTCTTTTTCAGCCTTTAGCCGCCCTCCTACCTCTGCCCTGCCTCATGCAAACCCTGTGATTTTGTTGTTGTTGTTTTTCAGATGCTACTAGGGGAAAACATTACTGGGGAGATAAGCAACCCTTCCATTTTAGATTTGTTCAGGACTCCACAGATGAGAAAGCACACCCTTATTTTAATGTACTCCTGGTAAGATCATGTATACTTATAGGCATATGTGGTGGATGAAAATATTCTTGTGGAGAGGGGGAGGAAGGTGGTGGTGAGTAAAACTCAGTTAAAAGGTCAGTCCCTTTTAAGACAGCTTGCTCAACTGACAGGTCCATTGGTCGATCAGTGGTGAGAATGCCCTGACAAGCAGCCCCCTGGTCCTGAAGTGAGTGGGCACAGGTTGGGGCTGCTCAGAGGCCCAGCTGTGGTCCTTCTCAGGGCTTTCTCCTATCAGCTCCCCTTAAAAAGCATACAACAACAACTAGCATTTACATAGCGCCAATCACGCAGTGTAATGTCCCACAGCGCTTGACAGTGGCGAAGCACGACTCTGAGTTGGGGGGAGGGGGAGGTGCCCATAGGCATGGTCAAAGAGGAAGGTTTTCAGGCGCAATCTGAAGATAGGGATTGAAGAGGATAGATTTGGGAGGTTGAGCCCCCGCCTCCTAGCCCCGGACACCCACCACCTATGCGTGTAAGTAGGGTGAACGTTGGCATTTATTTGTGAATGGGTGAACATTTGTTCATTAAATGTGTAACAAAATTGTTCAATCCTGTAAGACGATTTGCTTCTACACTGGATTGAGCTTCAGGATATGAGAACAAAAATGTTGTGGATGCACAATAATACTATTATAACTCAATAATATTATATTAAATAATCTTTGCATTGTAAAAAGTGCCTTATCACATTGTCAAAACGTGTGTGCGGAGGTAGTGGAGCTGAGCGAGGATGGGGGTGATGGTGTAGGAGAGGACAAGAGCTGCAGAGTTCTGGATGGTCTACAGCTTGTGTAGGGGGTAATGGGGAGTCAAGCTTGCTAGTGATGAAGGTATGGCTGGATAACGGTCTATTTACTGGATTTTGCATTGAATACAATATTTGCTCCAGGCATTAGTTTTTGATGTGACCCACTAGAGGGAGCATGTAAAATAAACTTGTGATGCAATAGTTGAATTGATTGCTTGCTGTATTTCTTTCAGGTTCACCGGTGCTGTGGTGTATCTGGGACTTATTTTGCGTTTGGGACTTCAGGAAGATGACGTTTACTTTGATGTTTTTATTGCTGGTGTTGTGGAACTACCAGCCACATTTCTAAGCGTTATAGCTGTCGATCGAGTGGGCCGACGTAAACCGTTTATCTTATCCAACCTTATGGCAGGATTGTTCTGTGTAATATCTATCTTTATATCGAAAGGTAAGTCTTGAGCTAACTTGTAAAGTAGAGAATGTCAATACTTTACATTGAACCAGAGTCTGCTGTGCACAACAACTTAACAAGATCTAACTTCTCAAACAATGTTTCTTGAAGGTTTCCTATCTTACTCACAGTTAATGCTGTTTTATCCATGTCTTACTTTCATTTTATTTTACTCTTCCAGAAATGTACTGGCTAAAGTCCTGTTTGGTCACGTTGGGCAGATTTGCAATTACCATGTCCTTTAGTGTGCTTTACCTTGTAAACACAGAACTGTATCCTACCTCAATACGGTAACTAAAACAATCTTTCTCAAATACCTTAAATTCTTACAGAGAGTAACATCAGCACATCCATTCAAATACATTATATTGGAGTCTCCTATGCAATGATTTGTAATAGGAGTTGATGATAGCAACTCTGATTCTCAAATAGTGACTCCTTCTGATATCTGGAAATGTGTCTCACCAACCAACAAGAACTCTACTCTGATTCAATCTATTTCAGGAGTGTGGCTCGGTGCGATAGCCTAGCTCAGCTGGTAGGACCCTTGGCTTTGAGTTAGAAGGTTGTGGGTTCAAGCCCCCCTATTGCGACTCAGAACGCAAATAGTTGAAGCTGACACTCCAGTGTCGTGCTGGGTGAACTCTGCACTGCCGTCCTTCAGATGAGATGTTAAACAACAACAACAAAATTACATTTATAGAGCGCCATTCAGGTCGGGAGGACGTCCCAAAGCGCTGAACAGTCAGGTGTCGGGGTCCGGGCATGGGGGAGGGGTGGTGTAGGGTGAGAGAAGGCAGAGGGGTGGGAGGGCAACCGAAGGCACGATCGAAGAGAAGAGTCTTGAGACTGGCCTTGAAGAATGCGATGGAGGAAGTGAGGCGAAGGGACCATGGGATGGAGTTCCAGAGCGTGGGGACAGAGAGGCTGAAAGCCCGGCCACTGATGGTCGGGCGGGTCGGGCGGGAAACATGGAGCAGACTGGAGCCCGCTGAACGGAGAGAGCGGGCAGATTGGTAGGGAGTCAGCAGGTCAGAGAGGTAGGAGGGAGTAAGGCCATGGATGGCCTTGAAAGTGAGGAGGAGGAACTCGATCCTCTGAGGGTTGGGGAGCCAGTGGAGTCGGGCGAGGGTGGGAGTGATGGGGTCACGTAGCCTGGTGCGTGAGAGTAGACGAGCTGCAAAATTTGGGATGATCTGCAGCTTGCGAAGGGAAGAGTTGGGAAGGCCGATGAGGAGGGAGTTCCCGTAGTCGAGCCTTGAGGTGACGAATAAACCAAGGTACCGTCTGCCTGGTCAGGTAGACATTAACATGGCACTATTGGAAAAGAGAAGAGAGTTTATCCCAGTGTCCTGGCCAACAATCCCCTATTAACTTCATGGCTATTTGTGGGACATTTCCATGTGCCTATTGGCTTCTGCGTTCACCTACAAAATACACAGTCACTGCACTTTACAGTATATCTTGTGAAGGATTTTGATATGTCTTCCTGACATGAAAGGCACCATATCAAATGTAATTAATATTATAACAACAATAGTAATTAGCAATTATGTAGCACGCTTCACACAGGGTAGCATCTCGAAGATCTTAACAGTAGTGTTAGCCTGATGAGCTAGGGGGGTGGAGGAGATGACTGGAAGCACAGAATATGTTAATAGGATGGTTGGTAGAGGCCAGTTAACTGGCTTACATTTAAGAAACAGTTTAGCACTGTATTGGAAGATGGTATTTTGAAATCATAAGATAAAATGATTCAAAGGATTTTCTTCATCCCAAACTTTCTTGCATGCTAAGAAGATTCATATTTATTTTTGTAACAGGAACCTTGGTGTTTCTGTGTGTTCATCATTATCAGATATTGGGGGGATCGTAACCCCATTTCTGCTCTTCAGATTAGGATTTATTTGGTCTGAGCTGCCTATCATCGTATTTGGTAAGTATTCAAAATCTAGGTAGGTAAAAAAAAGTCATGTTGTCTGTTCATGAAAAATAAGTTTGATTCTCAGGCTCAGGCTCTTTACTTCAAGCTAACTTTGAGACATGTCATTCAGAGTTTGTTGAGGTAATTCTTATTAGTTAGAGAAGGATGCCAGGGGTTTGGGTTAGCCTCTATTAGCTTGTGCAAATTGAATAATGGGAACGATATGGAATGATACACTGATACATTATGAGATTGAATACAGGGTCTCTGGAACATTGCATACTGTAAAAATGAATTTCAGAATTAAACAGAACAATTTTTATTCCATATTCTATTGCCTTTTTGAATTCTATTATAGCAAATGCCAATGAGATGCTGGCAACCTGGGAAAGGAACAAGATGAAATGAACGTGTCACCCTATGACTTGCTTCTCTCTCCCAGATAAATTGCAATCTGGAATTGGGGAAGGACATGAGAAAGCCTCATTTTATTAGATTAGGACAATGAACATTGGAAATAAAACTAAGTAATAGATTATTTCTGCTGGTCAGTGAGTCAGTCACAAAGAGGTTGCAAAATTAAGGATAACCAGTGAAAGAATTCAAGGGAGTGTGTGAAAAAAATCCTTTTCTCTGTAACAGTCTCTGACGTACTGCAGACCCCAACAACTTAGGAACTGTATATTATAATCCGGTCATCTGGCTCATATCTCAGCTGTAAACCTGACCTGTGGTTAACTTTCACCTTATTTCAGGTGTGCTTGCATTGAGCTGCAGTGGCTTATTGCTACTTTTGCCTGAAACAAGGGGCATGAGATTACCAGAAACTGTGGAGGATGTCGAAAATATTTCAAGGTAACTATGAATGTGGGATCGACACTGAGCAGGCAAGAGCTGTGTCTTTTAATAACAGGATCAAAATTATTTTCACACTTTGATGTTTCTTCATTTCTGCAGACTTTATGAATGGGACCATGATGTGACTAAGGAGATGATCAATATTTCCACTTCTACCTAAAGAATAAAGGCAACATTTCCTAAAGGAAACCACCGCCTATCTCAGAATGTTCTGTGAAGCATTTTGAGACGTCTAGCAGATGTGAAAACCGCTATATAAAATGCAAGGATTATTATTAGTATTATTATTATTATTATTATGTTGACTTCCACAGTGTTAATTTCAGTCATTTGAGCACTGTCAAAAAAATAAACATTCAATCGTGTTACAGAAAATTATTGTCATTCTGACATTGTGAAGAGTAAGTGAATGAATAATAAAAAGTAGTCAAATAATGTTCTTAAGCTATCTCTGCATTTTCCAATCTACCAGTTAACATTGTTCTGAATGTAAAGATTACAGTATTTACAGTTGAACATAAACTTTGATGTTTAGCCTAGATAGATGCAAATATTTGCTCACAAATAAAGTCACTCTAGTTAACAGTAGATCCTGTAATGCGTCCTGACGTCAAACATGCTTTACCAAATGTAATGATTATTATTTATCATTAAACAAAATTGATTCTTTACATCTGTGTTGTGTGTATGTATTTGTGGCTCCCTCTCACCATTCTCACTAATGCTCTGAAACATCTCTTACCACTATTTTGAAGCAAGATGCAATGTTTAATGCTGTGATGTTGAAGTTGTTGAAGACCTCTTCTGTGTAAACTGTGTAAAGCACTGCAAAACTTTATCCAACATGAAGGACACTATATAGTGTGTTGTTGTACATGATTTTCATCCCTTTGTGCTGAACCTTTGAAAAGATCTTTAATGCTATTTCTGACATCAAACACATTCCAGTCTAATGGGTTGAAGAGTTGGCAAGCACTTTGTAGGTCACGGAAGCCAGAATACTTAATAGTCAATTCATTGTTACAATGGAAACATAAAAGAAATAACAAAGCTATTGTTAGATGAGACAATACACAGTCCCTTCCTGACCTGGTAGATGAGAAACTCAGTGGATGCTATATACAATACAATTTATATTTATATGGAGACTTCACAGCAGAAGGACATCTCAAAGCGCCTCAGCTAGGCTGGTTGGGCACCTGAGTGTATGTGGTGGTGGTGGGGGGTGGGAGAAGAGCTGAAAAATGTGGGGATAGAGCAACGATGACTGAAAATGCAAATGAAGAGTTAAGTCTTAAGACAAGCTTTAAAAGTGGCAAGGGAAGAGACAAGACTGAGGGACTGTGGAATGGAAAGTCATCTGATGATTTTCTATTGACGTATCTATCATTGGAAAGTACGAACATAATTTATAAATCTAGTTCATCATTGGAAAATATCAGAATCTCCAAATAAAATATTTTTTCTTTTGCCCAGTCCTTTCCGTTTCAATAATGGGGAGGAATTGGCTTCCAAAAAGCAAGCACATCATGCAGAGATATCACATCCCTATTGGGACTTCAGAATTCCAGCAGCAATGCAGGACCCCAATTGAATATCACTTCATGTGTCAGCCTGACTCATTTGGTAGCGCTCTTGCTTTTGAATCAGAAGGTTGTGGGTTCAAGATGCACTTGGAACCTACACATTCTATGCTGACACTTCAATGCAGTGCTGGGGATGTGCTACACTGTCTGTGGTGGTGTCCTTTGCATAAGATGTTAAACCAAGGTCTCAACAGTCTGTCCGGGTGGACGTTAAAGATCCTGTGGCTCTGTTCAAAAAGAGAAGAGAATTTCTCCTGGTGTCCTGGCCAACAAGCTCTCCAAATAAAATTGGTCATTCACTCCATGGCTGTTTGTGGGATAGTGTAGTGCACAAGTTGGCTGCTGTGTTTGCCCACAAAATGCACACAGTGTATCCTGTGAAGTGCTTTAAGATGTCTCAACAATGTGAAAGGCACTACATCAAACACAAGGATTATTATTATTATTAATATTTATTTTGAAAATACAAAGTAGTACAAAGCATAGTTAATCATAATATGTGAAATACAAAACAGTACGTGAGGTAAGGTCAGGCACATCAAAGATGCAATTCCACAGTAGTTTTATGTCACAATCTGAATCCTGTTATCCGATGCCAAAGATTATTCTACAAATCTAATGAATGGAATTTTAAGACCCCTGCTTTATCTTGTGCAAACAATTGTTACTAAGGGGAACTTCATGAATGTGATTGTCAAACACTTCACAACATGCCCAAGCCACAAATCACCTCTCTGACAACAAAATTAAACCGAGTGTTATTGTTGGCTCACCTCATTCTGTATTGAGAAGACTGAGAGATGGCAAACAAGTGGCTATGGCTCAGCATTGCTTTCTCTGTTGCTTTCTGCCATCCAAGCACTGATGATCAACCGATGGTTGGTGTTGCCATTAGGATTGATCCAACGTCTGCAGAGGCGCAAAAAGCAGCTCAATACGCTATGAAAGAATACAACAAAAACTGCAATTCCAGCTATCTGCTGAATATGATCTCGATTGTGTCAGCCAAATCGCAGGTAAAAAAAACAACTTACTTTCAATATATCCTAGGAGCTTAGTCAATGTGAATCAGACATTTGTAAATCATTGGAGTCTAACATATGATGTAGTTAAAGCTGACAAACGTTTTGTTCTTCACTTTTAAATACAGAACATGACATTAGCATTAAAGAGAAGCACATAATCAGATCCCCTCCAACCTGAATCAACTAAGGGCTATAGTGCATAGTTCACCAAAATTTGCTATCATTTCTTTATAATGGGAAATCTCAGTTCAAAGACACGGTAAAGAAAAAACACAACTTGTTATTAACTCGATCAGTGACTGATGGAAATCCATTCTCAGTGGCAATGAAAGCAATGCTAGATAGTTAGAATTTGGTTTTAGCCTTGTTTTTTGTGTGCGCTGACGTACAGAAATATATTATAGAGGTGCAAGTTGCTGAGTTCCAGAAAGAAATCTAATAATAATAATAATAATCTTTGCATTTGATATAGCGCTTTTCACGTCTTCTAGACGTCCCAAAGTGCTTCACAGAATATACTGTAAAGTGAATTGACTGTATATTTGTGGATGAACCCGGCAGCCAATTGCGCACAGAATGTTCCACAAACAGTCATGGATTGTAGCTGACTCTTTTTAAGATATTTGAACAGTTGCATCTTGAAGACCAATATAGATTTTGCCTCAACCACCGGTCCCAGTAGAACTTTCCATATCCCAAATATTCTGTAAGAGTTTCGGATGGAGATGACTAATATGGTGGTGTAATAATCCAAGGTTTATTAAATAATATAAATAGCTTAATTTATTCTTAAAACTGAGACCATAGATGCAGTGGAATCGATATCAATTCCACTGGGAAGTATGCTGACCCTCTACACAACTCCAACGATACCAATGTTACCTCTTTCATTTATACCCCAATTTAGCCTATGTGACCCTTACAACCAAAAATGGAATTCAAAAGTTTACTTTGGCAGTTAATTGTCTTAATTGACACCTTAAAGTCGTGAAATCTTTTCCCATCCAGACTGCAAAGCACCAAGAGTTCAATTAATCAGGACAATGTCTTATTCAAGGAATATCAGGTTACTGTTAGACCCCAATCTTCCAAATAAGGAAAGGAACAACATCCATTCATATCAAACGTGTCACAGAACCCAAACACACAGACTTCAAGTCCCCTTTCTGGTCCAAGTTTTAAAAGACATTCCTTAAGATCAATCAAGATGTTGCTCCCAGTCCTTACACACCCTGGGCATCAAACAATGATTTTAACCATAATCTTACAATTCTGTGCTGGAAAGAAATTCCCTAAACCTTCCCATTTGCTCATTTACTGTCTTAAATTGATGTCCTCTAGTTACAAACTCACCGGCCAGCATAGCCCTACTGACTCATAATTTTAAAGCCCTCATAATTTTAAAGATCACTATCGGGTCACTGCTCAAGCTTCTCCCCTCACAGAGGACGCCATATTCTAACTGCAAATGTTAAAAATAATGAGTTAAAACTCATCTATGAAATGCTTTTCTCTGAACAGATAGTTGCTGGGTTAAAGTATTATTTGACAGTACAGGTGGAAGAGACAAACTGCTTGTGTGGATCTAATGGAACTTTGGAACATTGTTCTCCAAGATATGGAGGATATGGAAAGGTAAGGAATACTTGTTAGCATCTTTCTTCTGGGAAAAATATATTAATTTTGTCTTCTAAACAATAATCAAAAGCAATGTGAAGATGAATTCTCGTAATGACCTGATGTGTAAAGGCATCATGTAAGGCAGCACTAGGTCTGTGATTGTGCTGAGTTAGCTTATCTCAGCCGGGACAGGAGATTTGATGCTACAACTGGCTCAGCACCCCTTGGTTAGGTAGTAGAAAATCAGCCAGATTTCCTGTTCTGATCACTTTCTAGACTCCTGCCTTTCCTTCTCCCAATGCACTCCTCACCAGTCTTCCCAGATCCACCATCCACAAGATCCAACTAATCCAAAATTCCACCACCTGTATCCTCACCCACATGAAACTTCGACAACACAAATGATCACCGATACATTTCCTTTTTCCCTTGCTTGGGGCCCTGCCACTGTAAAGCTCTCCAAGACATTATCCTACATAAACGGCGCTATATAAATCCAAGTATTAGTTGTTGTTGCATATGTGTAGATGTCGGGTGAGGACAGAAATCCTTCCCCTGAGGAAGGAAAAAAGACTCAACAACAACAAACAACAAAATTACATTTGTAAATCACCCTTCACATCGGGAGGACGTCCCAAGATGCTGGACAGACAGAGTTACGGACCCAAGCTGGGGGTCGGGGTCAGGGAGCGTGGAGGGCAGGTGGGGCAAGCAGGGAGATCGAAAGCACGGTCGATGAGGAGGATCTTGAGATGTGTCTTGAAAGTGGCAAGGGAGGGAGCGAGGCGGAGGGACTGTGGGATGGAATTCCAGAGGGTGGAGGCAGAGTGGCGTAAGGTCCACCCGCCAATAGTGGGGTGAACGAGGCGGGGGATGTGAAGTAGGCCAGAGCCCGCTGAGCGGAGGGAGCAAGCAAGATTGTAGGGGGTTAGGAGGTCACAGAGATGGGGTGGGGGGGGGGACCGTGGAGGGCTTTCAGATGCTTTCCTCAAAGGAAAGGGAGGAGGGTAAAACCCAGAAGACAAATAAAGTTCTTAGCATTCAGATGAAATTTAGTTTAATTAAACTATTTTTCTTTTCTTACAGGTCTTACTGTGTGACTTTCAGGTGTATTACATTCCCTGGCTTGATTCAGTTGAACTGATAGCATCCAATTGCCAAGCATGAAGTTCAGCAAACACAAACTAATCTTACTGGAGTTTGTTAACTACATTTAATGATGTTGCAAATGTTATTTTCTTCCTCTTGTTCAGTCTTTATGTTACAACAATATACAGTGTAATACTTACATTTAATATATTGCTTTATGATACTGAAATACAAGTATTGAATGAGCAAATACCATTCTCATGAATTATTTCTGATAGCAAGGCTTAGATGCATGAACCTTCTTTGCTGAAATGCTGACAATGGTGCTTTGAAAAATACAATAAACAATTCTGCAACAATGCCATTGCTTTGCGTCCTATTTTCTGGATAAATGGTGACCAACCCATTGACACGTTGTAAACCTGCACCAAAGTCTGCACCCCATCACACCATTTCTAGCCAAACTCCACTGTCTCCCTATCGTCGAACGGATCAATTTCAAGATTCTCACACTCACTTTCAAATCCCTTCATGCCCTGCCCCCCCACCCCCCCACCACCCTAACCTCTCCGACCTGCTTAATCCCCAACCCATTACCCACTGCCTCCGCTCGACTGGCTTCGGCCTCCTGCATGTCCCTTGTGCCCTCCGTTCCACCATCGGTGTCCACACTTTCCGCCACTTTGCCCTGAAACTATGGAACACTCTTCCTCTATCCCTCCACCTTGCCAGTTCCATCACCTATCTTCAGATTGCCCCTGAAGACCTTCCTCTTCGACCATGCCTATGGTCCGCTCCCCCTAGTTCTGTGTCCTGCTCTGCCACTGTCAAGTGCCCTTGGACGCTACCCTGCAAGAGGGGCCCTATACAAATGCAAGTTGTTGTTGTTGTTGTTGTAAACCTCTCTTTTTTGAAATTACATTCCTTGAAAGTAAACTCACAATGAAATTCCTTGGGGGAAACGGTAAGGGGGGTCCACTTGGAACTGAACTGGTTCCAAGGAGACATGTCTGGCAACGGAATATCGGGACCAAAACAGCAAAATCAGCAATGCGCACCAGACAACTGGTCGCGGGCAGCAGCATTCAGCGGGACAGATTGGCTCGACACAGTGAGGTTATAAAAACCAAAACAATACTGCCGCTTTTCTAGAGGACCGATTTTGTGCGCTTCAGATGTCTTGTCTTAGGACGTCCTCCGGACGTGAAGGGCGCTATACAAATGTAATCTTGTTGCTGTTGTCAGAGTGGGCTTGCAGGCTTAAATATGGCGAAAGGAGTGGAGGAGCTATGGAGTTCCTTCAAGGAGGTGTTTATGAAGTTAATGGAACAATGTGTACCCATGGGAAGCAAAGGTACCACACTTAAAGGCACTCCTGCTTAGTTGGATGAGGCTTCAAAGCAACTCATCAAGAGGAAAAAAGGCATTTAAAGCCAATGAATGAAAATGGCACAGAATTACTTCAGATTCAATACCAGAAGGCGTGCCAGGACTGTTAAAAAAAAGCATCAGTATGGCATAGAAAAACTTTGAATTGAACATGGCAAAGATATGAAAGATAATAAACAGGTTTTCAGTTACAGTAAGAAAAAAGGAAAACAAGTGATAGAATATGGCTATTAAAGGTGGGATCGTACAGAGGCACATTGCAAAAAGCGTTCCAACCCTCTCACAACAACAACAACTTGGATTTATATAACGCCCTCCACGCCGGACGGTGTCTCAGAGCACTTCACAGTAACGGATCCTGGGGCCGAGCCAGGGGGAGGGTGGGGAAGGTGACCAAAGGCGCGGTCGAAGAGAAAGGTCTTCAGCAGGGACCTGAAAATAGGAAGAGAGGGGGTAAGGCACCATTGACCTAGCCAAAGATCCGTTTAAGTCTATAATGGTACAAATACATTCACAGTCACTTCCCAACGAGAGGGATAGAGTTTAACATGATGTCAACGCAATAGATTCCCAAGGTGCAGAAACCTCCTATTTGTAGCGCAATGCTGCCCCCTGTTGAGTACTTGAATCGAAAGATGGGTTAACAGCAAGCAAAAGTTTTTATTGTTAGAACGTTTGTGACATTTTTCTTATTTGTCAAATTAGATTACATAGCTTTATAATGCACCTATTTCCAATATTATCATTATTATTATTATTATTATTATCATCAAGAGTTTCTTGATGAAACCAAGAAACAGCAGTTGATAAATGTCAGCATGGCATTTCCCATTATAATCATGGAATGGAACATTTGTGTGTATTAGTGAATACAATACATCAGACACGAGTGCATTAGAAATGAATAAAGTAAATCCACGGAGATCACATAAATTAAAAGACACCAAAAGAGGGTTGATTTCCAGAAACTACAACCCTTTGATTCCAGTAGGATAATAACATAGTGACTTTCAGGCTATAGACTGGAGTCCTGCAGCTCAGTGGTTAGAGTACTCACCTTGCAAGCGAGACACCTCGGTTCAGTTCCAGGCAGTGCAAAACCTTGGGCAAGTTTTCTTACTCCACACACCTAATAATAATCCCTTCAAAACAAAACAATAATAAATTCATCATTTTCAATCCACGACTGTTTGTGGGAACTACTGTGCGCAATTGGCTGCCGCGTTTCGTCCACAAATATACAGTCAATTCACTTTACAGTGTGTTCTGTGAAGCATTTTGGGACGTCCTCCCGACGTGAAAAGCACTGTATCAAATGCAAGGATTATTATTATTATTATCAGTCCATTTAGCCTGCCCAATTTCCCAAAAGATTCCTTCACTATATTCCTAACAAAAAGCATACATTCACACCACTTTACAGTGAGGAACTTTAAGACATCTTGACAACATGATATCAAATGCAAGGATTATTATTATTATTATTATAAATGTGGCAACACAGATTTTTTTTAAAAAACTTGAGTTTCTTTGTTCATTGCTTCACTTTCTGCCACACTTTTGTGGTAAAGCTTGGCTGAGTCACACCTATGAATTTGCCCTGTCAGTTTGCATTCTACAAATTGGTTTATGTCAGATGAACAACAACAACAACAACAAGATTCCATTTATTGAGCGCCTTTCACGTCGGGAGGACGTCCCAAGGCGCTGTACAGTTGGGTCAGGACCCGAGCAGGGGGGAAATGGTCAGGGTGAGGGGAGGGAAGGGAGGGAGCGAGGAAGGGGTAGAGAGTCGAGAGGGGAGCTGAAGGCACGGTCAAAGAGAAAGGTCTTGAGACCGGCCTTGAAGGAGGAAGAACTGAAGTCGACACACTTCTCAAACAGATGGTAGGAAAAAGGGAACAAGAGAGACAAAAGGTAAGCGATAGTTTTAAAGTTCGTGTAAAAAAAAGTTAGAATAATGAAAAACAACAACTTGCATTTATACAGTGCCCTTCACATAGATTAATGGCTCAGTAAAACGATAATGTCTCAGCTTAAAATATAATGAATAGGAAAAGGGGTAAAATACAATCCAAACAGTTTTGAATGGATGAGCATGGGTGACGATTGTGTATGTTTTATTATTTAATTTCTCTTTTCTATTTAAAAGAAGTTTGGGATTTGGAATTACAGCGACAAACCCAACCTAATGGTTGAGTTACCATTGTTACTCAAATAAGAGTTTGTTTTCCCCACAGTGAATTAACTAAAAATGTATAGAAACAGTTGGCCACATAGATAAGAATGTATCCAGACATACTGATGGCAGATGAAATGCAATGTGGAAAAATGTAAAATACTTCACATGGGCACAAAACAATCCAGGAAGGGACTATTATTTGAATGGAAGGAAAATAATATGTTTGTTTACTTACCAAAATACCTATCCTTTAGTCTTCCAAACCCAATATCAAGCGGTTTCCTAAAGAAATCAAGTAATAAAATCATCTGGACTCCATTCTCATGGCTGTCCATAGGAGGGTGTAGGTCACCAACACTCTCCAAAATACACACACTCTCCGCAACACACACTGTCTCCCCCAAAACTCACACACTCTACCCAACACATTCACCCTCTCCCCAACACTCACACACTCTCACCCAACACATTCACCCTCTCCCCAACACTCACACACTCTCACCCAACACATTCACCCTCTCCCCAACACTCACACACTCTCACCCAACACATTCACCCTCTCCCCAACACTCACACACTCTCACCCAACACATTCACCCTCTCTCCAACACTCACACACTCTCACCCAACACATTCAACCTCTTTCCAACACTCACACACTCTCACCCAACACATTCACCCTCTCTCCAACACTCACACACTCTCACCCAACACATTCACCCTCTCCCCAACACTCACACACTCTCACCCAACACATTCACCCTCTCTCCAACACTCACACACTCTCACCCAACACATTCACCCTCTCTCCAACACTCACACACTCTCACCCAACACATTCACCCTCTCCCCAACACTCACACACTCTCACCCAACACATTCACCCTCTCCCCAACACTCACACACTCTCACCCAACACATTCACCCTCTCTCCAACACTCACACACTCTCACCCAACACATTCACCCTCTCCCCAACACTCACACACTCTCACCCAACACATTCACCCTCTCTCCAACACTCACACACTCTCACCCAACACATTCACCCTCTCCCCAACACTCACACACTCTCACCCAACACATTCACCCTCTCTCCAACACTCACACACTCTCACCCAACACATTCACCCTCTCCCCAACACTCACACACTCTCACCCAACACATTCAACCTCTCTCCAACACTCACACACTCTCACCCAACACATTCACCCTCTCTCCAACACTCACACACTCTCACCCAACACATTCACCCTCTCCCCAACACTCACACACTCTCACCCAACACATTCACCCTCTCCCCAACACTCACCCACTCTCAACCAACACATTCACCCTCTCCCCAACACTCACACACTCTCACCCAACACATTCACCCTCTCTCCAACACTCACACACTCTCACCCAACACATTCACCCTCTCTCCAACACTCACACACTCTCACCCAACACATTCACCCTCTCCCCAACACTCACACACTCTCACCCAACACATTCACCCTCTCCCCAACACTCACAC